CTGCTGTTCCTGTCATTTGAAATTTGAATTGTATGAGTGTGTGTGTGTATGTAGACATGCATTTTAATTGGAAATTTTATCTTGTAAAAATGTATGAACCATCTGTCAGGAGTGCTTTGATGGGTTTTCCTATATGTCAGAGGGTTGGATTCAATGGCCTTTGTGGTCCCTTTCAATTCTATGATTCTAAGTATAAAAAAATAAACTAGTCAGATGGGCTCAGCTGAGATACTAGAGTGTATGCAGGTTTTAGGGATCTAAAACGTTTGTTGGACTGAACATTGCCTCTTGATGTCCCTTATTTGTAAAATTTCCTCCATTATACAAGCTTTGGGGGACCCAGTATGCCCTCCAAAACAATTAGTGTACCTTGAAAAGTCATTTTCTACTTCTGGAAGCCTTCAGTAACAGTAGTTTTGCAATAATTTATTCCTAGAATGCTAGCCTCTTTTCTGGGAAAGATGGAGAATGGTTCAATTAAGATTCAGTTTCTTTCTGTAGAGAAAAGTAAAAATATGGCATCTCTCTTGTCTTTCTGAGACTAGCTTTGTCAAAATATAGCAGACGTGTGGTATGCAAATTCCTTATTTAAAAAGTACATGCAAACGCATACACACACATCCTAGGCTCTGCCTAAAGGAAAGTGTCAAGTAAAAGAACGGCTTAGCAGAACTTGACATCACCATGTTGGGGGATGTGGTTGCATGTGGACACATGGTATGGTTGCTTGGATGTGTGGATACACTGAGCACCATGCATTAAAATTGGGTGACTGAGCAAATGTGGACTCTTCTAGAGACAGTACGTAGAGGGTACAGGCATTCAGGGAATTCTTACTGTCTCTAAAGCCCTTTTGCTGTAGTGGCAAATGGCTGATGGGAGTGTAAAAAATTCATTGAAGAGGATTTTCCAACAAAAGAAACCCCAATTTTATCATAACCCTTTTTTAAAAAAAATGAGGAAGTCAGGGTGGGAGGGTGGAATTTGATTCTCAAACCAAAAACAACTGGAAATGGACATTCAGCTACACTCTCCTTTTTTTTTACACTGGTGATAAAAAAAAGTCCCTCTTGTCCATCTGGAAAATACAGGCTCAAGTTCCTTTGACTGATACTATCATTGTATTCTTGGCGAACATATCACTGCTGTAATGGGGGCTCAGCATCCTTTTGGCTAATCGTAGATCTGAATCACATGTCATCGACTGGGTTGAAGCGGATGAATCCAGTCACACAAGAATCCCTCTGTGTTTGCTTTTGCCTGACCCTCCTGAGAAGAGAAAGATTATGCAAGTGATTTCTCCTCTATTTTTTCACTTTGAATAGTTGAAGTAAGTGGATGACAAAGTGGGAAAGTGGCAGGGAAAGAGAGAAGCTCTGACATTTTAATAGCAGATGAAAAAGTGGGATGACAGAGAAATAATCAGAACTGCTTTTACCAGGACTGTTGAAGGGAACCTTTTATTTGAATGGGAAAAAAGCACAGTGTGTTCTTATTAATCAATTAAAATCAGTATAATTTGGAAATTTCAGTTTGGTAAGACAATGATCTAAATGTGTGTCTTTATGGGTTGGATTTTTTTAAAAGTCACCAAATCCTGTGAAACCGAACAGCTGTCCCCCAGGAACACAAAATTAATTACTTTTTTCTAGCTAAAACAATTTTCAGGAGAAATTATAATTTGACATGTAGGTTTAATATCCAAAGAAAAAAATATTTTAAATACATTTAAAGCACTGGGTTGTTGTGAGTTTTCTGGACTGTGTGGCCATGTTCCAGTAGCATTATCTCCTGATATATTGGCTGCATCTATGGCAGGCATCCTCAGAGGTTGTGAGGTCTGTTGGAAACTAGGAAAATGGGGTTTATATATCTGTGGAATGTCCGCAGATATATAAACCTAAAAACTCTAAAATCATAACAGTAAATAAAGAACAACACTAAAAATAACAGGGGAATTCCAGACAATCAGGGACAGCTAATCACCTCTTAACAAAGGATCCCCCCAGGCAGTAACAAGCTACACCTAAACACTCTCAGGCCATCAAATGCTAATCAAGGTGACCAATTGAAATATTCACACCTACTTCCAACAGACAAGAGTTTTTTCTCCTACCCTGGACATTCCACAAATATATATACCCCATTTTCCTAGTTTCCAACAAACCTCACAACCTTTGAGGATGCCTGTTACAGATGCAGGTGAAACGTCAAGAGAAAGTTTCTGGAACATGGCCATACAACCCAGCAAATTCACAACAGCCCAGTGATTCCAGCCATGAAAGCCTTCGAGAATACATTTAAAACACTATCAGATTTGTCCATTTTGTGGTGGTACGTCAATTGCAGCATCATATTTTGTGGCATGTTCACCAACGTTCCCACATTCTGTCAGCAATACTGTCTGGACAAGGACAGAGATTCTGTGCCATTGGAGTGAAAGCAGAGTGGAGCATCTGTAGGCAAGCAGAGCCCCATCCATGAGAGAAGTGGCAAATTAGTTTGGCTGGAGCATCACTTAAGAATCCGAAGGCAGAAAAAGCAGTGTGTAATAGATAGGAAAAGAAGACAATGATGAGGAGCTTGATGTCTGAGAAAGTGAGAAGTCAAAGGGCCAATAAGGTTGGATAGCTTCCAGAGATGAAGAAAAACAGAAGCAATAAGAAAGTTAGCAATAATTTGAGAAACACACATTCAGGTTGGTTGCCAGAAGCAAAAAGGAGACAGAGAGAAAGAGGGGGAAAGAGCATAGAGCAAAAGAAGAGGAGGAACTGGATAAGAAGGAAAAACGCCAAATAACTAAATATACTTTTGCAAGAGAAAGACAAAGAAACATTGGAGACCTGGGGCTGATAGCCAGGGAGGGAGAAAAGCCATGGGTAATGGTGAACTTTTACTTTTTGCACATTATTTGAACTTGCCTAAGGGAGCCCCCAGTGGCACAGTGGGTTAAATTGCTGAGAAACTGAACATGCTTACCAAAAGGTCACAGATTCGAATCTGGGAAGTGGTGTGAGCTCCCGCTGTTTTCCCCAGCTTCTGCCAACCTAGCAGTCTGAAAACATGCAAATGTGAGTAGATCAATAGGTACCGCTCCGGCGGGAAGGTAACAGCGCTCCATGCAGTAATGCTGGCCACATGACCTTGGAGGTGTCTATGGACAATGCCAGTTTTTGGCTTAGAAATGGAGATGAGCACCACCCCCCAGAGTCGGATATGACTTGACTTAATGTCAGGGGAAACCTTTACCTAATATACTTTATTTGAGGCTCACTGTGAATTGGAGAAAAACAATGACAGACTTTTGGTCATTTAGTTATTTCAAAAGAGAGTTTAAAGTATTTATAACCTATTTATCTCTAGAAATTACAAAATTCTGTTGTTGTTTTTTAAAATTAATTGTAGACACAAGCAGAGTAATACAAATCTCAGTAATGAAATTTTGCTTACATTTTCACTCAATAAAAAAAACTAACTCTGACACGACTGGATTTAATGTCAGGGAAAAACCTTTACCTTTTTACCTTGAGCTTGCCTGTTCAAGTGTTGGTTGCAGTTCCTTTCTTAAAATAAGAGACAATCTCAATGACTTGAATCACCATCACTGCCACTGTCAAGAGTTGACATTTTTCCTTAGCAATTGCGTTGCTTTGCCAGGCACCTCCAAAGGGAGGAGAAAGAGAAAAAGAAACTGCAAGTGATTTTGAGAAAGAGAGACTGTATTATGTTCTAGAAAATAACTACCCATTATAATTACTCATTCTGTTTTTTTGGCTCAGAAGAGAAGTGGGGTTGCTGTTTCAAGCTACCCAGCACATTTTGTCGTGATTAGAAAATATTCCACACCTTTTACAGAACAGAGGAAGAGAGAAAGGAATAATTTTTAATGCAAATTAAACTGAAGAGGTAGCAGGAGGGGAACAGATAAGCCAGTAAAATAAAGCTTCTCTCCCTCCCTTTTGCGCTTTTTCTTAAATTAGCCGTCAAATGTATTCTGAAAAAGGGGACTCCTCTCACATTGGTGGAAAGAGGATCCAAATCTATCACCATAAACAGTGAGCTGATTACCTTTTTCCCCTCCTCAACAATTTCTTTAAGATCACAGTGAAGATTAGGATTGATTTGCTAGGATTTAGCAGCATTTCTAAACACTGCTTAGCTTTACTTCACGGTATACAGTACGATGCAAAAAGGGCTGTGATTTTGGTAAGTACCTTTCCTCTGCACACAGATGTGTCTGTCTCTGTGTCTGTATTTTCATATGTATATGTTGCTGCTAAACCATATCGGAATACATCTATTAGAAAAGCTTAATGAGGTAGCCTTTATCTGGCAGAGCTTGTTAGTATATTGAGGCAGATCTTATTTCCCTTCTTTTTCCATAGTCTAGGTGAATATTTTGTAACGTGTGTGAACGTCTTAAACTCTGTACTCAGTCAGCATTGCAGAAACATTTAGCACATACCTTTCTCCATTATATTGTTGAAGAGTGAGAGATAAACACAGAGGAAGGAGCTGAGCCAACTCAGGTAGCACTTGATCAGACAGAGTCGGTCACTGAAGCATTTAATTTTGTTATTCATTACATCGCATTCAACTGAAATATAACTTTTTAGCTCCATTGCTTTTGTGCTAAAGAGTTGCGGAGATGGAGTTGTGGGCAGGTGAAAGTAAACAATTAGGCAAGAGAAAGTAATATGAGTTAATCATTGCAGCATTTTTTTTTAAATTGAAAAATTATTGGCTTGGATGGAAGCAAAAACAGCCCAGAAATGTAACAGGGAGTAAAAGCACATTTACGAACAAATAAGCAGAATATGCCTTTTAAAAACATCTCCTTAGGAAAGGCTGTGTGCAACGGAGAGCTGGTGGTCTACGTATGTGGAAAAGAGGGTGAGTGGGTGTAGAGAAGAGGGAAGTGTCACCTTCGGTTGCTTGGTAACATCTCCTTGGCTGTTCTGGTATCAGATAAAAGAAGTCCAGTCGATGTTATACATTATTCATCAGAGTTCCAATCAAACAATCAAAATTATTTGCTTACACTGGGGGACATCTAGCCAGATCAAAAGAACTCTTACTGGAAACAACAAGACCTTTCAACACCAGGACATATCTCTTGATACATACTTTTGCAGTAAGTATTATTCTACGTTCTGTAGATGCTGCAGAAAAACCATCCAGAAGAATTGCAGGACTTTTCTGAATCTTAACAGCTTACAAATATTAAAGCAGTCTTGCTAACAGAAATTGGATGTTTGTGTTTTGGGGGACTGTAATGTCATCTAACAGGAGTCAGTTCTTTGTTAAATGTTTAAATGAATGCATATATCTCCCCCATCCAAAAAATGCTAAAGGAAAATCGTTCTTTCAAAATCAAGTGTAATTGAAGTTTTTAAATAGCTCTGGGTGACTATTTTTAACTAGTGCTTTAATTGTGTATAACAGCGCTTGGACTTGGTGTCCGATTCAGTGCCTTTCAATTCTGTGGTTCTAAGCTTGTAGTAAAATCTAGATTTATTTGTAATATTTGCTGCATGCTATATTCTTAACATGAAATAAAACTGTCTTCAAGGGAAACTTGGGAATCAGTGGAAACTAAAAATGATCGGGGATTCATGATAACCAATGTAACAGCCAAATACCTTGCAAGCCACCTTGCATGCCAGGTTCTTTACTACAACTCTTTTGCACCCTAGCTCAGGGGTATCCTGGCAAGGGGGTTTTATATGAAAATCTTTGATAGTTTGGCAATGATAATCATTGTATACCTTGTTTTAATGGCTGGCAATATGAAGTTGTTCTAATCTTGACTCTCGGCGATGCTTTGGGATGGCAGTGTAGAAAAGGATCTAGATTCATTCATCTCCATCACAAAATAAATCTAATATGGTTAGATTAAGGAGAAAAGAATGCTTCATGCATCGTACATTTGTTATCATTTGTATTGCAGTAATGCCTACAGATCACTCGTTGTTTAGATTTCTAGTATTATAAGCATACAACTCACAAGTCTATAAGTGATAGGATGCAACAGGTGATGAAAAGGATGCTTGCGATCAAATAAACAAAGTGTGTGTGCATGTGTGTGCTTTCAAATAGTTTGTTAGTTTATGGCAACCTCATGAATTTCATAGAGTTTTCATAAGCAAGGAATACCCAGAGATGGGTTGGTGTGAGTTTTCCGGGCTGTATGGCTATGTTCCAGAAGCTTTCTCTCCTGACATTTCTCCCTCATCTATGACAGATATCCTCAAAGGTTGTGAGGTCTGCTGGAAACTAGGCAAGTTAGGTTTATATATCTGTGGAATGTCCAGGGTTGGAGAAAGAATTCTGTCTGCTTAAGGCAAGTGTGAATGTTGCAATTGGCCATCCAGAGGTGTTTTTAACGGTTTCTTCCTCTGAAATACAACCTAAGATACTAAGTATTCATTGAACATCTCCCATTCAAGTACTAACCAGGCTGACGTGGTTTTGTTTCTAGGTTGCATTTTTTACTACCAGTTCTTAAGTTTTACCCCTGAGTCTTATTCTTTATGTTCAGACCACCCTGAATAGAATTGTGAAGACCTCAGGCGCCCTCACACCAGTTCTTTGGCATCATAGGAAGGTCTTATCCTTCACTTTAGGCCACTGAACTGGGGTTGTGGTTTGCTCTGGCATCCACAGCCATTGAGAGAGAGGGAACAGGAAAAGTTTCTCAGCTTATTACTCCTGGGACCCTGGACTTAGAGTTTATAAAGTATCTTTTCCCAGTTGAAACATAAAGTTTGTGTCAAAGAAAGAGAACTGTTAACAATAAACATCATTTCGAGTTAACTGTTGTGTTCTGGTCCTTGGGAGTTCCAGTTTCCCTAAAGGAGGGCAAGAAAGCAATCCCCTGGGGAAAGCAGTCACGTCCATGCCTCTTTCTCTATAGCCCCAGGCGCGACGGCACAAAGGCCCTGAACTAAAATACCAAAACAGGAAATAATGTGTGTATCTCCATCTATGAATCCCTTTGGGAATGATACTAGAGATTAGGAAAATGATGCAGGATTCCTACCACTTGTTCCCAAAATTACACTGTCTTAATAAGTTTTGGGATTTCACCTACCCATTTCTCTTTTTTTTTTTTTTCAGGAAATAGACTACAACGCTTTGAGAACCTGAGGGGAATCGACAGCTGAAGTCCTCCAAAATGGATAGTCCTTTCAAGATGAACTACTTGTTAGATGTTGATTCTGCCTACCGGTTGTTTTACAGCCAAGGAGCACAAGGTAATGTATTTCAAGATAGTGGAGGTGGTTGTTTTAACATGCTAAGATGCTGAAGGTACGGGTACCGTTGCCCTCTGGTGGAAGAGGCATAAGGGAGAAAGTAATTCGCCCTGATTTTAACTGCTCATAGAACTACTGTTTTCCTAATCTATGCTTTTGTGCTCCCAAACTGTGGCTTGAGACTCACATCCTCACTTTTAACATGTTTAAGCAATGGGAAATCAAGGCTCTCCCAGTGTGGCATGTAGTGTGAACCTACATCCCTCTGCATCCAAGAAACTAGGCAAAATGGTGATACCAGAGGAAAACTGGAAATCTTCTTGTTACATCAAGTTCAGAATTCTGTTCAGATGTCAGGTTTCAATCTTCGGGAGTAGAAGGAAGGAAGAGTGACTTCAAGAAGGTCTGATCTTTCAAAGAAGGCTTTGGAGGAAGAACAGAGCAAGTTAAGACTTCATGGAGAATAATGTTTTTGTAGATGTCCATTGCATTGCTTGCTCAACATTACTCAGTCTGGTGGCCTGTAGTTGTTGGAATGAAACTGCTATCCAGCCCTTTGCTATCGTCAGTAGGAACTAAAGTGTGATATACCAAGGAGTATGCCTCTCATGAAAGAAAAGATCAGCATAAGTTTTTCACTTACTGTGATGCTTCTAAAGAAAGGTTTATATGGCTCCTGATATTTACTCTTAATGCATGGTATGAGCCTCCCCCCCCCCCAACTCATCAACAGCCATTTAAAAACATAATTGGACCTCACAACAAAAACATTTGGGATATAATAACTGTGGGCTTTGAATGAAATACTAAATGGGGCAGTGTGTACAAAGTGGTATAATAGAGTCTCGCTTATCCAACATAAACAGGCCAGCAGAATGTTGGATAAGTGAACATGTTGAATAATGAGGAGGGATTAAGGAAAAGCCTATTAAACATCAAATTACATTATTATTTTACAAATTAAGCACTAAAACATCATGTTTTACAAAAGAAAATTGACAGAAAAAGCAGTTCAATACAAGGTAACATTATGTAGTAATTACTGTATTTACAGATTTAGCACCAAAACATCACAATGTATTGAAACAGCTGTTGATCCAGATGGGAGGCAGACTGCATTGGATAATACAGAACATTGGATGGGTGAATGTTGGATAAGCAAGACTCCACTATATCATTTTATTGATAGTTTGTGCCTTAATGATTTTGTTCTGTTGAAAATAGCTATCAGGTTACCTATAAAAACTTCCATTTGCATTTAATTGTCCTCTCAAGACAATGGAAAAAAATGGTTATACTATGAGATGGCATTGTTGTTAAAAATAGGCTTTGCCTGGGTAATTCACGACCCTACCCACTATTTGGTCCTTCAACAAACACTTAGAGCCCATTTCCAGGCATATATATTGACAGTAAGAGCCAAACTCTGTGTTGCATTAATATTGGGATTGGGATCAAAGCTTATTTCTGAGAAAATGTGCTCAGGATTGCGTCATTAGTCTATCTTTGTACTCTTCTAGCTTTCCCATCCCACAGCGTAGTTACACTGCCCACACTATGTACCAAAAGAACATCCATCCATTTTAGGAAGAGACCAAAATGGTGAAGCTGGCAAGAACAAAATAGTGGATCACATAATTGTCCTCTGTACTTTGAGCTTCCCTTTCCAGAGGAAGCTGCAATATCCCTTAATAGATTAATTGAAAATTGTGTACACCCTTCTCCCATCTGTGGTTCTTGGCAGAAATAACATTAATTCATTACTATTCATCCATTCAGATGTTGGGAAGGAAAAAAAGGGTATCACATCTATGAAAGTGTTGATGTTTACTTTGCAGATATATTTCGATGTGCCTATAATATTGAATGAGTTTGTTGATATATTATGTTGTAATAAAGCTAGATCTGAAGAAAACAATTGCAATGTGGACATCCTTTTCCAGCCTGAAAATATATCGTCTATGTAGAGTCCCAGCATGGTTTAAAATCCATTTATCAGTAAGCCAAAGTCTTGATACATACAGAATGATTAAAACATAAGTTCTTGTTTTGTTTACTCTATACTACATAAATCACTACAAGATATATCAATGATCACATTGATATTTGATGCTAGAAAAGACATAAATCGAGCAGTAACTCATGTATACTTTGTAGCTCCTCTCAATTACAGAGTCATAATCCCTCCTGTATTGTTTTTCATGCTAAAAATTGAAATCTAAAAGTTCAGATTTAGTCTATGCTTATAAATAATTTTGTTATGGCGATGCTAGAATAAACAAAAATAAAGACACATCTACACTGTAGAATTAATGTAGTTTGACACCACTGTAACTTCCATGGTTCAGTGCTATGGAATTAGGAGACTGTAGTTTTACAAGGTCTTTACCCTTCTCTCCAAAAGAGTGTCGATGCTTCTCCAAACTTCAACTCCCATGATTCCCATGGCAGTTAAAGTGATGTCAAACTGCATTAATTCTACAGTGGAGATGCATCTGCTGAGATTATAGCAAGACTGGAGCCTACATCATGAGATACTTGAAGTATTATTTGGATTATCAAATAATAATAATAATAATCTTTATTTATATTCCACCTTTCTTCCCAAGGGGACTCTGGGGCATTACAGTACACATACACGGCAAACATTCAATTCCGTTATACAATTAACAAAGTCAGACAGTACATAAACAGGCTTCTCATGTTTTTCCATCTCAGACATCTGGAGGCTGTGCTCGACTCTAGCCATGGGAGGGGTGCTGTCACTCCATCTTCCATGTTGAGGAGCTTTGTTGTCTTTAGATGCTCTCCTGACTGAATCACCGGCATGTCCACATGGGCATCTTTTATTACCTCCCTACCTATTTATCTACTCACATTACTGTTATTGAACTGCTAGGTGAACAGAAGTTAGGCTGACGGTTAGGAGCTCACCCCATCCCAAGCTTGAACTGTCAACCTTTCGATCAACAAGATTTTCTGCAGCTGACGGTTTCAAAGCCCATCAGCTGCAGAAAATAATGGTAGATAGAGAAGTCAAGTGGAAATTCAGTGTAGAAAATGTCAAGAGTAAGAATTATAATGTTAAACACTGGCTATTCATAAAAACTTAACTGAGCTAAGTAGGTCACTTAACACATGCTTTTTTTAAAGAAACCTCAATTCTCCTGTTTCTAAACTCTGATGATAAAACTGAGCTTCTTAATAAATTACAACTCTCTTCCTCTCTCCCTCCATCTTCCTGTATATTTGCTCCATAGCAGCAACTTTAAGGTCAATGGTAGCATGTCTTGGGAGGCTGAAATATCCCACTCCTAGGTGTTGTTTTTTTTTTTAAAAAAACTTCCATATTTGATTCCATATTTTCATCTTTTTACTATTCTGTGCAGAGGTTGGCCTGCTTGCCCTATGGAGAAGGGCATGGTTGACAGAAGGCAGCATTCGTCTTCATCTCCATCTCTTTGCACCAGCAGGTGGCATGGTAGAGAGGAAACTCACTACATTTCCAGCTTCTCGCCTTAATACTTTTTTAACTAAGGCCAATGATGGTTCAAATATTCCTTTTATTAAAATATATTTTATATATTAATGTTTAATACAGACAAATGAATTTGCAACAGTATAATCAATATTCAGAAAGAAAAGGAAAAAGTAAAGAACTACAGACAGGTTTTGGTATTTGGTGGGATTTAGTTCCAGAACTAAATTGGGTACCCAAATCCACGGATGCTCAAGTCACATTGTATACAATAGCATTGTAAAATATTGTTCCTTATATAAACTGGCAAAATCAAGGTTTGCTTTTTTGGAGGTTTTTTGGGGGAGAATATTTTCAACACCCTCAAAAAACTTAAGCCACGGAGGGCTGACTGCATCCATATAAAGCAGGCATGGGCAAACTGGTCCTCCAGGTGTTTTGGACTTCAACTCCCACAATTCCTAACAGCTTCAGGCCCCTTCCTTTTGCCCCTTAAGCGGTTAAGGAGGAAAAGGAAGGGGCCTGAGGCTGTTAGAAATTATGGGAGTTGAAGTCCAAAACCCTGGAGGGCCAAAGTTTGCCCATGCCTGATATAAAGGGTGTTCTAAAAATGTATACATCCTTTAACAGCTATTAATAGCTATGGAGACTAAGTGGATAATGTATACTGAGGAATAAATGTTATAATAACGATTTAATCGGGGTCACAAATTCCATCAAAAGTACAATTTTGCATTCTCATCCCTGCACAAAGATATACTATTTGCCTTGCTGAGATGCAAGGCTTGCAGGCCTCACCTCTTCTCGTTTTGCAATACTTCTTACTACTGGAATTTTTTAAACCCTTTAATCTGTTTTTTAAAAAATGAGAACAATTGTTATTAAATGTAAACATATTTCTTGTTTGTTGGCATCAAGCCAACTTTCACTCATGGCAATTGAATGAATGAGAGACCCTATTGTTATCAGACCTGCTCAGCTCTTTAAAATCCAGGGTCATGGTTTGAATCAATCAAGCCACAATTTGATCTTTCTCTTTTTCTATAGCTATCCACTTTAACAAGCATTACACTATGTAACAAAATTTGAAAACAATTCTGATCCTGGTTTAATTGTGCAGTACTTACTTTGAAAGTAGTTTTTATACTCCAAAAACTTGGTTTTTGTGGCAGCCACAAACTCTGTTGACTTGGTTGAGAGTTTATAAGATACTTAAAAAAAACTATAGCAAAATGTTTGGCAGGATGTCCAGTAAAAAGTAAAAAGAAAAAAAGAAACTTTCTCCATGCTTTTATGATAGAATCAATTAGGAAATGACATTTTTAACCCTGATCTGACTGCAGCATAAGGAAGTGGACAGCAGACCATTTTGGAACTAGTCTGCTGCCCACACTCAACCTGAAGTGTGGGACGGCTCTGGAGTTTCAGTGATGCCTTTCTTCTTTTTGATAATTTTTAAGTGGCCACCGTATTCTTCACAGGGTAGGAGGCATTCGGATTTCTACATCAAAATCCCATACAG